ATTTCTAAAAGCGACACAAACTAAACTCGCTCACACCCTCACTCACTCAGGGTATATGGAAGTATTCCTTTTCCTGACTTAGTAATTTGTGACGTTTCATAGCAACAACCTAGAGGTGTACATGTAAGTTTGTTGATTACAGAGATGTCTGAATGCCTTAACTCTATTGAAATACCACAGCCTGTAAAGCATTTCAGCCATAACAGTTACATTGTTGTGTCCTGCTCAACACAGTATGTCTCTGCTCAATGATTTCTCTAGCAACCCCATCATGAGTAAGCTTTATTGGCATCAATAAGGCCTGTTCATTAGTCAGGAGGTAATTTCTTTTACAAAGACAGTGTGTGCCAAATATGCCTTATATCTATTGGTGCAAACAATCTGTGGCTTTGGTTGAGAGTATTTGACATTTTTCCCATGGAGTTGAAAAATAGTGCTATTAGCAATGACCGAACAGTCAATGTTTGAAGAAAAGTGACATTTCTTAATGGATCAAGGAATGAAATGGAAATGGTTCTTTCCACAACTGACAAGATCCAAATGATTAAAAATTTATACATATATGGTCTCTTTAAATTTCTTTACCTGAACCATTAGATTATGCATATTACATGATGCGGACAAGTAAATGCTGACTTCAGTAATTGGATCTTGTGACATTTATTGTTTATTCATGAAAGTCAGCAGAACATTGACCTTACTTTTCACTATTCATTTAGAAAAGAATAATCATGACAGTGACAATTAAAAATATTTTCTTTTCGTTTTCTGAACGATTCCCAATTTTACATTTTCGGTTGGGATAATTAGTACAGGTCGATAATGTGTTTGTTTCGGAGTTACTGACTCGCTCCTTCTTGAAATGATGTATGCAGTGATCGGTGTTGCTACTGTGTGATTTATGCATTATGTAAATAGCTGACTTCTATACCAACAGTTTGAGGCTTGTGTAAGGTGCTTCTTTCTTCTCTGTGCAATTGCTTTTTGTGGCAAAGCATCATCATTTTTATGACTGTAACTACAGTAATAAAACTTTTGTATCATAAAGGTGTTTGTTGTTACATTTCAGCATTACATCGGATCCTAGGGCAGGACATTTTGGCTGTATAGAGTTGCCTCCCTTAGTTGTGTCAGGCTTTGATGTTCATGGGTTATTGCCCAGTATATCCTTTTGATTACTGATCTAATGAACACACCTAGGGACCGTTCATAATTTGTGTCTATATGGGAATTTGGTATTTGGAGAGCATTTGTGTGTGTGTGTGTGTGTTGTTATTCACATTGTGCATACTACTCCATAATAATCGTCAACCCCTTATGGTGCGGTCCCAGTGCCGACCTCACTCTAGAAGGTCGATTTGGGGGTCGAATTGGTCGAGTTTCAGAACGAGTTAGGTCGAGTCAGGTCGAGTCAGATCAAATGAGGTCTACCAAGTTTTTGAAAATTCAAAAATTTTCCCCGACTTCCTCCTCGACCTTCGGTTCGAGAATAGGTCGAGGTAGGTCGAAAAAAGGTCGAGTTGAAGGTCGAGCTGGCCTGACATGCCGATTTGTGTTTGTCTTAGAGTCGATCTGTACTCGGCCTCGACTCGACCTTGAGTCGACCAACTCAAACTGGACTTGGCTTGGACTCAACCTGGAGTCGACCGACTCGACCAGAAGTCAACCTATCTTGACCTCAACTCGACCTAATCGAGTCCGCGCCGACCGCATAAATGGTCGCCAGCTTCCCAGATGCTTCATAAAAGCCAAACGGCAGCCAGTGGTAGCACATCATCTCCACACCAACCTGCTGCCACCCAGAGGTCCACCCTGAGCACACCACCCTCTCCAACACGCCGCAAAGCAGCGGATCAGGCTGGTATCTTCCCTAACTTTGACTCCAGTGCTGCAGCAGGTATATCTCTGTACCTGCCAAGCGGTCTCTTGGACCCTACACACACCTCAGATTATCAGTCACATGTTCAGGACTCTCAGCAAGGACAGTGAAACTGAGAAGTAGAACTTGATACTCATATATTGTCATGAGCACTTTACACTGATGTGAAATGTTACCTTCAGATTATTTAAATGAGTTTCCAATACAAGATTTAAAAGCATTTTTATCTGATATATTTTTTGTATTTTCCATCAATTGCTAAGTGTAAATGTAAATACATCTTGTACGATTGTAATTAAGTTCGTTTTGTTCATCATGTATATAGTTAGTTTTCATTGTGGTTTTTTTCGCATTTACCAATTGTAAATAGTGTAAATAAAAAACAAACAAGAGTTCCTTTGTAAATGAAGTAGTCCTAAATAATAGAGTACACTTTAAAGTCATTTGGAAATCATCTTCTTTTGCCAATGAATAGCCCCTGGGCCCATGAAATTGACCTTAAAATAGTTTCTTTGGTTGGCGCCATCTAGTGGGGTAACGTTCCTCGTACCCTGGTTATCCCCATCAAGCAGCTGTGTGCAGGGGCGCCACTCGCCAGTCCCCATTCCCCGGTCTATGAGGTTCATCTGACTGTTCCGGTTCCTCGTTCTCAGCATTTTGTGTAAAGTGACGCAGGCCTGGGTTATCTGTTCAGCTCTGTCTGCAGTGCTATTTAGGGAGCCGAGGTGGATCTGGAACCTCATAGCCAGAATCCCGAAGGTATTCTCCACCACTCGTCTGGCCCGAGACAGTCTGCAAAAGTCACAAATTAAACATTTTAAAGTCAAATGCATTCAAAATTCAAAACCTTTGATATAATATTGCATACACCCAAAGATACTAAGTTATAATTTGATTTAGGTATTTATGGAAAAGAATAATTACCTGCAGTTGAAGATCTGCTGATCGGGATCCACGCATGGAAAAGGACTTCATCATCCAGGGGCGGAGTGGAAAGGCATCGTCTCTGATGATGAAGTATGGGCACACCATACGGGAATACAAGGTCATCGCCCTCCATCCGATCTCGTGAATGGTTGAAGACCATCAGCCTCTGATGCTGATCCCTTGGCCCCGACGTTGAGGTTGAACACAGGTCGCGGTGAGGTCGGGCCGGTCGTTAGGACGAGGTCATTCTAAATTGAAGTCGATATACAGGTCGCAAGCTGGTCGGTATAGGTCTTTCAACTTAGCCGACCTAAGTCGAGATAGGTCGACTGAAGTCAAACTAAAATGGAACTAAGGTCGTAAAGGTCCTTACGAGGTCGAGATATCCCCAGGTCGAGACCAGTCGAGTAGTTTGCGAGGTCGAGTCGGTCGAGCTCCCGAGGTCGCCACTGGGACCGCACCATTAGCCATAAATTATGAACTGACCCTTATACCTTTAGTATTTTATTATGGTGCTCTGGGGTGGTGGGGTAGCCGAGTGGTCAAAGCGTTGGTACACGCGGAAGACGTGGGTTTGATTCCCAACTTGGGTACAATGTGTGAAGCCCATTCCTGGTGTCCCCTGCCATGTTATTGCTGGAATATTGGTAAAAGCGGCGTAAAACTTTACTCACTCAATCTCAGCATTGTTCGTTTTGTCAGTCACTGGATAGTCAAATCAGAAACACAAGCTTGAGGTTTAAGCGTTCGCTACTCATGCCGAAGACCCGGGTTCGATTCCCCACGTGGGTACAATGTCTTAAGCCCATTCCTGGTGTCCCCAGCCGTGATATTGCTGAAATATTGCTAAAAGCGGTGTAAAACTAAACTCACTCAGTCACTTTCAGGCAAGGGGAGGCAACACCAGTAATGTTTCCCATTACGAGTGCATTATAACGCCCGACCACAACGTCAAGCTGTACGATCCGTGAAGATCTCGGTTAGAACTGATCTTCAGTGACCCATGCTTGTCGTAGGAGGCGACTAACGGCATCGGGTGGTCAGGCTCGCTGACTTGGTTGATATATGTCATCGCATCCCAATTGCGTTGATCTATGTTCATGCTGTTGATCACTGGATTATCTGGTCAAGGCTCGATTATTTACAGACCATGGCCATATAGCTGGAATATTGTTGAGTGCTGCGTAAAACTAAACTCACTCACTCATTCAAGCTGTACGGCCAGTTTTGCTGCCACGTCATCAAACTGCAGGTCTGGATGGTAAAACAGCACCTGGGGTCCCGATCCACAATACGTTCGTAGCGCTACGACATTCGTAAGCCAGTGATAAACTATAGAGTTACGGCAGGTCGTAACGTAACGAACGCTTTGTGGTGTCGGTACCAGGAGGTTCGACGTCTCTATGGATGAGTCCAGTTTTCACCTTGACAACAGTGAATTCAGCAGTGACGTCGGCAGACAGGCTGATGTTGACATGTGAGATGTACTGTCCCGAGGCGTCAGGCAACAAAAAGTAATCATCTTACCTTTTATGCAAATTGCGCGAGTGACGGGTGCGAGTAATGTTGTTTTTGTTTTTGCACACTATTGAGAAAAGGAGGGTGCACACTTCGTTTCCCCGAGTTTTCCCCCTCTGGATCCGCCTATGACATCCTTATTATGTTACCGAGCACCTGGCGTCATTACCTGATTTTCAGTGATCCATTTGATTCACCCCTACGAATCTGACTGCTGTTTTGAGTGTGACAAGTGCATGGTACAATGATTTCATTGGACAACAGAACAACCCCACTGATCCGGGTTTGAATTGGTCTTCGGCAACTCACCCTTGTCGTAAAAGGCGACTGACCGGCTTGCCAGGCTCGCTGACACGGTTGACACATTGTCAGTCTTAGCATTTAGTGGTTAGAGCGTTCGCTCGTCGCGCTGAAGACCCGGGTTCGACTCCCCACATGGGTACAATGTGTGAAGCCCATTTCTGGCGTCCCTTACCGTGATATAGCTGTAATATTACTAAAAGCGGCGTAAAACCACACTCACTACCTCAGTCTTATCATTGTTTGGTTTTGTCAGTCACTGGATAGTCAAATCAGAAACACAAGCTTATAAAATTGTCGGAATCTTACAATGAACTCAGAGTTAGGTGGAGATTAACAATGACTATAGAAATGATTTTAGTCGCCTTTATTTCAGTTAAGCGAGAATGAAACTTGTGATCTCACATATAATAGGGAGTTTATCTGAACAGTACAGGTCTGTCCAGATGAAATCCGTCGTAGTCACAACACAGTTGTCGTTGTAGTTGTTGTCAGGTTGTCCAGGGCCCCAGTTGTTGTCGCGGACTCGGGTCCCGTCTGTCCACCGGAAGTCGCCTCTCGGATAGTTAGGTTCATCATTCAGACCGATGTAGAAGGGATACTTCCCTGAAACAGCAGGACCCTTTGACCTCAGTAATACTACTACTAATAATAATAGCAATAATAATATGGATTCTATTTTGCGCTAAACTCCACACCAAAGTGTACTCAAAGCGCAAAAGGAGTTCCACAGTTCATTATTACTCCGGATAACCCAAGCTGCATGTGAGGCGCTAGACGGGTATTGTCACATGACTTATCCCTCCGGGTACCCATTTTCTGCTGGGTGAACAGAGACAATTTTGAACAAACTCGCTTGCCTAAGGTGAGACCACGTGTATGACACGTGTTTCGTTGTGGGGCAGGACTGAAGTCCGAGAAACACTCAGGAGTCAAGCTGCCAAATACGGTCACCCATCCAAGGACTCTCCGCGCCAAATGTTGCTTAACGTCAACTGATTTGTGACCTGAACTCTATGCATAGGACCATACACCACACACCAACAGTTACATATATAAATGCCCATACGAAAGTGGTCACATTTAACATCTGTTGCAGTTCTACAGGTATAGGTTCTACCTTTTTTTTTGTTAAGTCCCATCCGGGATTCGAACCCACACTGTCAAAGTCTGGTACCTAATCGCCAGCACACAAAGTCAGCTATTTAACTCCCTCAGCCACCGTGACTTCCACTAAACAGAAGTCTAACTGGTAGTCTTGACCAAACCTTGCCTAGTGGGGCTACCCCACCACGATGCTCATGATGTTGATCACCGGATTGTCTGGTCTAACCTCGATTATTTACAGACCGCCGTCATATAGATGGATTATTGCCGAGTGCGGCGTAAAACTAAACACACTCACTCACACACCAAATTTAGAATCTTCGTATCTTCTCACCATATTCTGTTCTGTGTATAGCTTCAACGGCTTCAATTTTGGCATTGGTGTCGACGTGGACAACTCGTCCCCCTGGCTCTGCTTCACATACGGCTTTTCCGTCAGGGTAGCTGGCAGAAACTGTGACAAACTTGACACACATCCCCACCGACGTAACCAGTCTGTAACCCTTGTGTGCTGAGCAACCTGTTACTTCTGTCAACATTAATATATTGGAAGATTCTTTGCAATGATAATTTTCATTATACGATCACTGACTAAAATGTCTTTAAACATTGTTATGATAAACTTGCAGTTGCAAATCACATTTATCGGCAAGAGGGTTATGTGTCAACGTTATTCAGCTGTAGAAATAGCAGCAGCAGTAGTAGTAGCAACAGCAGTAGTAGTAGTAGTAGCAACAGCAGTAGTAGTAGTAGCAGCAGTAGTAGCAGCAGCAGCAGTAGTAACAGCAGAAATAGTAGTAGTAGTAGTAGTAGCAGCAGTAGTAGCAGCAGTAGTAGTAGTAGCAGCAGCAGCAGTAGTAGTAGTAGCAGCAGCAGCAGCAGTAGTAGTAGTAGCAGCAGCAGCAGCAGTAGTAGTAGCAACAGTAGTAGTGGTAGTAGTAGTAGCAGCAGTAGTAGCAGCAGTAGTAGTAGTAGTAGTAGCAGCAGCAGCAGCAGTAGTAGTAGTAGTAGTAGTAGTAGCAGCAGCAGTAGTAGTAGTAGTAGCAGTAGCAGCAGCAAGTAGTAGTGCAGTAGTAGTAGCAGTAGCAGCAGCAGCAGTAGTAGTGGTAGTAGTAGCAGCAGCAGCAGCAGTAGTAGTAGTAGCAGCAGCAGCAGTAGTAAGCAGCAGTAGCAGCAGTAGCAGCAGCAGTAGTAGTAGTAGCAGCAGCAGTAGTAGTAGCAGCAGCAGCAGCAGCAGCAGTAGCAGCAGCAGCAGCAGCAGCAGTAGTAGTAGTAGCAGCAGCAGCAAGCAGTAAGCAGCAGCAGCAGCAGCAGCAGTAGCAGCAGCAGTAGCAGCAGCAGCAGCAGCAGCAGCAGCAGCAGCAGCAGCAGCAGCAGCAGCAGCAGCAGCAGCAGTAGTAGCAGCAGTAGTAGTAGCAGCAGCAGTAGTAGCAGCAGTAATAGTATTAGTAGCAGGAGCAGTAGTAGCAACAGTAGTAGTGGTAGTAGCAGCAGTAGCAGCAGCAATAGGAGTAGCAGCAGCAGCAGCAGTAGTAGCAACAGCAGTAATGGCAGTAGCAGCAGCAGCGGCAGCAGCAGCAGCAGTAGTGGTAGCAGTAGTAGCAGTAGCAGCAGTAGTGGTAGCAGCAGCAGCAGCAGCAGTAGCAGCAGTAGCAGTAGTAGTAGTGCAGTAGCAGTAGTAGTAGCAGCAGTAGCAGCAGCAGTGGCAGTAGCAGTAGTAGTAGCAGTAGCAGCAGCAGTAGTAGTAGCAGCAGCAGGAGAAGTTTTAATAACGGTACCTAGCGTTAGTAGTTTGATGCAATCTTGGATTTTATAACCTTTTCAACTATATTGAGATCATTGTCTTCATCTCAAGGCGTAGATGTAAGTAGTTGACATGCCTGTCCTTGACAGCCGTTCTTGTCAAAACGAAGCATGGCAATGGCATGTGAAGGATGAGTGAGTGAGTGTGTTTTACGCAATATTTTACGCAAGTATAGGTTCGACAGTCGTTCCACTACGATAGTTTTGTCAAACGGGACACAGGTAATGGGCGTGAACCACTCGGCTCCCCCTCCGATCTTTTCATTTAGTAATGTTATGTGGGTGTGTTATTAACCGTAACACAATGTTCTACCTATTGACAGTGAGGTGGGGTAGCCTAGTAGTTAAGGCGTTCGCTCGTCACGCCGAAGACCCGGGTTCGATTCCCCACATGGGTACAATGCGTCAAGCCCATTTCCGGTGTCCCCCGCCGTGATGTTGCTGGAATATTGATAAACACGGCGTTAACCAATACTCACCCGATTAAATAAATTTACCTGTTCGAACCGATCCTGCAGATGCTTCATCGACGTCATCAACGTCATCGACGTCATGAACGTCATCGGACACGTCAGTCCTACAGTCACAGAATCCCTGAATCCAAGGAATCTTCGTCTGGGAACATGCACTTCCCACGTTACAGATCAAGGCACACATCATCTCGGCCTTTCCGTTGGGATACATTTTACCTCTCTCTTTTCCAATGTTTTGGTTTTTTTTACCCTCTTGAAGAATTTTCGATGAAACAAAACAAATCGTGCAAACGAAAACTACTACGCTGGTTACAGCCATGTTTAGTTAGTCAAATGTCTATGCTCAAGAACCGTCAGTAATTCTACCAGAGCTGCTCTGCGTTAAGTACAATGACAGCGGAAAGGTTTATCTACAACAGACCGTGAATAATAGATAATTTGTATCAGGAGAGATTGTATAGGAACTAGGCACTTATGAATCAATACTAATAATGATAATATGTTCTTGCTTGATTACATAAAACCTCGTTAATCCGGACCCCGATAATCCGGATGTCTCGCCTCCCGCCTTGTTACCAATCTATGCCTATATAATTTGCCTCGATAATCCGGAAATTCGGTTTCCGGAACCGGGCGGTAAGTAGCTGTCACCAATCAGTAAAATAAACAGTAAATTGCTTCACAGTCCTGACGCTGTAAGTCGTGTTCACGAACCGTAACAACACTTGGGTCTTGATTCAGTAGTCCGGACGATTTGAAAGTCCGGATTAACGAGGCTTCACTGTACTTCGCTTTAAATCGCTATGTCACACCCTTCACGAACGGGCTCGTGTGGTCAGGCTCGCTGACGTGGTCGACACATGTCATCGTATCAGATCCAGATCACTGGATTGTCTGGTACAGACTTCGGTTATGTATAAACCGCCGCTGGAGTATTGCTGAGTGCAACTAAACTAAATTCACTCACTCACCTGGGAAACCCCATGTGGTAGAATTGGTCTTCGGCAACCCTATTTGTCATAGAAAGCGACTGATCGTCTGATGAGGACTACCTGAATTTGCTAATGGCATCGTAGCCAGCTACCTGCGAAAATCAATTTTTAACAATCATCACCAGACAATGATAGAGATTGTAGTAGATTCAACGAAGCTACAGAGCACATAAATCCCTTGAAGATCTGGGTTAGAGTTGGTCTTCAACAACCCATGCTTGTCGTGCGACAGTTGACACATGTCATCGTATCCCAGCTGCGTAGTTCGATGTTCATGCTGTTGATCACTGGATTCTGGTCCAGACTCGATTGTTTACAGACCGCCGTCATATAGCTGGAATAGTGGCAAGTGCGGTGTTAAACAAAAGCCAACTAAAACAATCCTTTCCGCAATGCAAAAGCCCTAAATGATGGCTAGTTTAGAGTGAGTGAGTGAATTTTAGTTTTACGCCACACTCAGCAATATTCCAGCTATATGGCGAGTGGTCTGTAAATAATCGAGTCTGGACCAGACAATCCAGTGATCAACAGCATGAGCATCGATCTGCGCAATTGGGAACCGATGACATGTGTCAACCAAGTCTGAGGACCACCCGATCCCGTTAGTCGCCTCTTACGACAAGCATAGTCGCCTTTTGTGGCAAGCATGGGTTGCTGAAGACCTATTCTATCCCGGGTCTTCACGGGTCGGCTAGTTTAGAGTGTACTCAGGTTCAACTCGCTTTGGTTTAGATTAAAGTGGTTACAGCCATGCTCAGTTAGTCAAATGTCTATTCTCAAGAACCGTCAGTAATTCTGCCAGAGTTGGGTTAAGTACAATGACGAAGGAAAGGTTTATTTTCAGCAGAATGTATCATTAATTTTGTATCAGGGGAGATTCTTGGCGTGCTTGAGGCACTTAGGAATCAATATTAATGATAATCTTTGTTGCTTAAGTACTTAAATTCTCTTTATGTCGCTTTTAATCGCTTTGTCATAGCATCACAAAAAAAGTCTGGGATTCCTATAATTAGAATTGGTATTTGGAAACCCTAAAGCACTTAACGGGATCGGGTGATGACTTTATTGTCTGTGAACATTTTCGTCACATTTTGGTTTGCTGCCCTACAACACTTGAAAGTTAATCATGGATAGTTTTACTACTATCAATCTGATCACATTCATTTTTTTGTGTTTTGCCAAAGAATGTAGAAATTATTTGACATTTTTGTTTTTGAAAAAACCAAAACATTTGTAATGCGCTGGGGGGCGGTGGGGTAGCCTAGTGGTTAAAGCCTTGGCTCGTCACGCCGAAGATCCGGGTTCGAATCCCCACAAGGGTACAATGTGTGAAGCCCAGTTCTGGTGTCCCCCGCCGTGATGTTGCTGGAATATTGCTAAAAGCGGCGTAAAACCATACTCAGTCAGTCAGTCAGTGTAATGCGCTGGTATCCATGCAGTCCATGCTCAAAGCGCAGATAGAATGTAAAAAATTACACAGTTATAGTTGAAAAGGCTGTCCTGAACAAATGTGTTTTTAACTGGGATTTGAAAGTGACAAAGTCAGTACAGTCCCTGAGATTCTGTGGAAGTTTGTTCCAGGCCACTGGTGCTGCATAGGCAAAGGATCTGTTTCCATACTGCACTGTTCTAGTTTTAGGGACAAGAAGACTTTTATCTTGTAAACGGAGCGAACGAGAAGGCTTGTACAGAGAAAGAAGACTGGATAAATATGTAGGGGCAGTTCCAGATAGACAGCGGAAGACAAGGCAGAGAAGTTTAAACTCAATTCTGAAATCCACGGGCAGCCAGTGTAGAAAGTTTAGAAGAGGAGTGATATGATCATTCTTCGTGGATCGTGTCACAATACGGCTGCTACATTCTGGACTCTTTGTAGCTTTCGTATCTGAGACAACAAACAATTCATTTGGTGTCCAGTGTACAGTATTGGAAAAGAACTAAACTTCAATGTTATGGTCCATGAAACCTTCACACTACCAAAATATTTGATGAAATAACATTACCCAAAAGTGTTTGAAAACTTTGCTTCGTCTAAGCTCAGGCTGTAGCTATTCATATGGTTTTATCAGATAACTCTTCATCACTTTTGAACTTTGATACATTCAGAAGCTTAAAATTAACGCTCCTTTTAACTTTCTTTCATATCATATGTTATTCCATGTCAGAATCGGGGTCATCTCCTGGCAATAAGTCAAAGGTGTTCGGGCAACAATCACCTGCCATACAAAGACATGCCTCTGTGCACACAAGATCATTCTGTCTGCATTGGCATACATCTCTCCGATGACCTGCAGATGTTTGGCATTTACGCGATGTCAGTTCAACCAATCCACGGGTTAAGCTGACCATCACAAATCCCTAACCATGGTCAACTGGTGAAGGAATGGTCATGATTGGTTGCAGAGACTGTCTCCAAACATGCACTTGGTAGCTACTCGCTCAATGTGATGTTTTAGACTGTTAGATGTTGCTGGGAGGTTTTCATTCAACATCTTGTCTAATCTACAGCATCACTGGATTTTTCGGTACATACAAAGAACTCACAGACTGGCCACAAGATGTAATGAGCGTTTCTTGAACATCCAGATTGTCACCTAATTGTGTCAATGTTTGTTAGTGATTCTCAGAGGACTTCAGTAAGTCAATTAGGAGATGAACATCATGTGTTGGCGAATTTCCGGGTGTTAGTGAGTATTCCCGTGCTTCAAATACTCAATAACACCCGGAAATTCGCCAAACATGATGTTTATCGACATTGTAAACACAAAAGTAAACCGAAAGGTCCACACACGTTTTTGTGTCTGCTCTCATTGACATCGAGTACGGGTACAGCAGTGAAATGTCATCAGCCGGCCGTTTCGGCTGTCTCCCATGGTAGCATCTGAACTGCTCATTTGTGACGTCATTCGGACTTTACGTCACAATATGATTTTAATTACGTCATCACAGCTGACGACGTAACAATACAATGGTGTGAGCGATGTTTGTATGTATTAATACACAGAGAATTTCCGGGAATCCAATACCATTTGATCACGTTTTTCACCCAATCAGAATAAAGAACACAGTGACTTTTGGTTTACAATTCCCTTTATTACCGATGCCACAAAGACTTTCGTTGAGCCACAACCATTAAGTGCATGAAGTCCCAAAAGTGCAGAGCTCATACCTTAAGTTTTTCTGCAGTCGTATGAAGTGGTACGTGCCCGTAACAGTCTTTTGTTCCTGTGCAAAACCATAGTTCTGTACACGTTAAGGATTACAAAAGCTAAATCCCATGAACTATCTTGTCTTGTAAAGCGGCGGCTGGTAGGAAGTAGTTCACAGTGATTGTGTAAAAGTGGGGGCGGTGGGGTAGTCTAGTGGTTAAAGCGTTGGCTCGTCACGCCGAAGACCCGGGTTCGAATCCCCACATGGGTACAATGAGTGAAGCCCATTTCTGGTGTCCCCCACCATGATATTGCTGGAATATTGCTAAAAGCGGCGTAAAACCAAACTCAGTCAGTGTAAAAGTGGGACGTATCAGCGTGAATTACAAATGCTTTCTTTTCAACCCTGGACTCATATAAAGTAGTCAAATTATGGAGGGGAATACCGCATATGCTACTAGAAACTTTCACCTTTGATTTGATTTTGTTTTTGAGCTTCGAGGGCAGATTACCGCTTGTAAACAAAATGTGATATGGATATGAATTTGATAAAAGTTCAATAAAATGGATTAAACATGACTTGGTCAACACTAAAAGAACGCTACCTGCGGAGAAAATATAGCCTTTGTTGACATTTACTGTATAAGGCGTGAGTACCGGCTTTCCAAGACAGTTTATTGTCAACTACAGTTCCAAGATATTTGTACTCCTCTACAATTTGCACTTCTCTCCGTTGATGAATACTGGTTCTAGAGACTGCTTACTGGTACGATAGTCTATATATCCTTTGTGTTGGTGACATTTATTACAAAATAGTTGTCTTTACACCAGGAGTCAGTGAGTTAAGTGTTATATGTTGGGAATCAAAACCGGGTCTTCGGCGTGACGAGCCAACGCTTTAACCACTAGGCTACCCCACCGCCCCCTATACATCAGGAAGTGAATCTGTCAGTTTCATTTCTGTAATCAAGTTCAGAGTCTTGTTAATGCGGCATCGTCTGCGAACTTGAATAGGAGGGAATTGAGTTTATCACAGTCATTTGTATAGAGGGTAAAGATTTTATTAATAT